CGACCGAACCAGCGACACGGCCAAGCAGTGCGGCGCCGACTCTTGCTGCCGCGGTTTCAACATCCGTGGTGTGCGTGGACGAATGTTTACGCGACAGTAGACTTCTCGTCGAAACGAATACGGAGCAAGGCGTATACAGCGAAGGATAGAGAAAGCAGATAGAGACGGGATAGAGTCGGACACCGAAGACAAAGGAGAAAAAAGAGACGAAGAGAAGGCGCGTTCGCGGTGGAGTGTCGTATCGTGGAGCAGCGTACCGAGGTTTAGGAGCGGTACACGTCGTTGCGTTATCGAGAGCGAAATAACGCGACGAGTCGTCCGGTTGGCGAGACGACCGAACGAACCATCGACGCTCGTTCAGTGAAACGGAGAAAGAGGCAAGAGAGGGAGAAAAAGAGCGAGCGAGCGAGCGAGAGAGAAAGGCGGAAGACAGGAAAAAAAGAGAAAACATTGTGCCGTCTTTATCGTTCGGGGCGTGGGTGCAGCGAACGCGAATCCCTCGGACGAGACCGCTTTGCCGCGAGCGAACGAGCAAGAGAAGCGAGAGCGAGGAAACGAACGAGGAGCGAAAGAGATGGTGGAGGACGGAACGGATCCGTCGCGAGAATCGAGTCGAGTAGCCTTTTCTTTGGTCGGCGCGTCTTGAGGAGGCCGAGCAACGCAAACCGTGCAGTGGCATTGCGAGCGAAGAAACGAGAGTCGAAGACGACGAAACCAAACGAGAGGAGACGCGAGAGGAGACGCGAGAGGGTCGACCGAGAACCGGCAACGCGGAACAGGAGAAACTCGAAGAGAAGAAAGTTTTCGGCCGAGAGGGATACTCGGCTGGTTGAACCATCGCAGTTGTGGTGGTCACGTGTAGCCGCGTGCGGGTGAAAACCGCGAGAGAGCAGCGTCTCTCGAAAAGGTCTGCAGCCAAAAGTATCGACACAGCTGGACACCGTGGGTCCAGCTAACGACAGCGGTTCGTTTTTCCCTCTCTCTTTCTCGCCCTCGCAACACCTCGGCTTTGGATACACCGAGCCGACGTCAACAGCTGCCCGACGGAGGATCGAGGCGCTCCCGAGACCGACCGTCGGATATCCTGGAGGACGATGACGATGGTGGTAAGGAGGATCACGAGCGGTAACCGGAGGACGAGCAGCACGAGAGGACTCGATTGAATCTCGATCGAATCCGCTCGAATACGCGGCAATCGCCGCCGCCATCGCCGCC